ATGATCGGGGTACCGGTTCGGGTAGCTGCCATACAACTTCGAAATTTATTTGGCTATATCTCAGAAACTATAAAAGCTGTGGTATTGAAATTTCGCACAAACAAATATATTAGTAGGGCCAATATGTTTGATAAAAGTCGTTGAAAATACTTGGCTCCTTCTGGTACCTGCCATACAACTTCAAAAGTTGTTTGACTATATCTCAGAAACTATAAAAGCTGTTGTATTGAAATTTCACACAAACGAATATATTAGTAGGGCCAATGTGTTAGATAAAAGTCGTTGAAATTACTTGACTCCTTCTGGTACCTGCCTTACAACTTCAAAAGTTGTTTGACTATATCTCAGAAACTATAAAAGCTTTTGCATTGAAATTTTACACAAGCGAATATATTAGCAGGGCCGATGTGCTTAATAAAATTCGCTAGAATTTCTTGGCTCTTTCTGGTAGCTGCCATGCAACTTCAATAGTAGTTTGGCACACACAGTATTTTGAAAAACACAGTACTGAAATTTTGCATAAATTAACATTGTAATACGGTAACTTAAAGTCATTGTCTGTTCCATAGTCATCTATAACATATTTATTCGCACATAGGATAACCAATTCGTACGGGTATCACAAAGTTGACAAGGTCAACTCTATTTTTTCTCGTTTTTACTGTCGTTATTAAACAATGCGGCTTTACAGTCTTCTCTGAATGGGATTCGAGAATATATCTTCCTTCGATACTACGCTGAGTAGTTGCTTCATAAAATGCTTCACATTCTTCACGTTCTTTCACCATTCCATTCTTCGGAATTTCTTTGGCGGCCCAGAATTGTTTGACTTGTGCATCAATGTCATCCAGAGTAACATGACATATCAAACTGATTTTAAGGGTTTTCATTGCTCCAGGACCCATTGCAGTCCATCCAAAGACTGTTTGCTGAGCTATTGGATGGTATGATTGTTCTTTTATTATTCCACTAAGCAATATTTCAGCAATGACATCTGACCCTAATATAAGATCAATTTTTGCAAGTTTTTCAACTATGTTTTTGAGGTGCTCTATGTTCTTAAGGTGCTAACTCTATGTTCTTAAGGGCCCCCATCTGTCTTTATGTACTTTTCCTTGCGGCAGGATTTTCGGCAGGTTTTCCAGAACGTACCGTGGTGGTAACCGGAAATTCTTTACATTTCTTTAATGTAATTTTTATACTAATACTATTTTTTAAAGAGCTTATTTCTTTTGTTCCGATTCCAATTATTATGGCATCAATTTTTGTTCTTTTGAGTTGTAATTGATTTGCAACTTCTTTCGTTATAAACGACGACTGTGACCCTTGGTCTATTAGGGCTCGCAATGGTGTATTTCTAACGCATACGTTTGCTGTAGGTAATAAAACTGCCGCATTTTTCGGTATGACGCAGTTCTATGATTACCCATCTGAATTACTAGGTACATTATGTGTTTTTACTCTGCTTTCACCATGTAACAGGCTATAATGATTTTTACTTTTGAAAAGTTGATTTCATGCAACTGTTCTTTGAAATGCACTTGTTTCTCACATGATTGCTGCTAAGACAGTTTGAGCATAAGTTGTGCCGTCTAGCTGCTTCCCATTTTTGAGTAATACTCATGTCTTTGAATTTTTGACATGAGTACATTTTGTGTTACTCTTTATAAATTGGACATATTTTTACCTACACCGCGGTGAGATACATTTGGTTGCATCGCTTTTCATGTTTTTGTTTTGTTGCTGGGCCCCCCACAGTTTCTAACGCCTGAAACCTTGTTTCCAGGAACTGTAACATAGCTGTCAATTCTGGGATTTTCTAGAGATTTGCCTGTTGTTCGTAGAGCCAATCTATATTAATGAAAGATTAACAAGTTTTTTTAGCTTTTTATATAAAAAAGCTAGAGACTTGAAAAGAGAAGGAAAAATTGCATTTACGTGTGTTAATGATGGAAAAATATTTATCCGAAAAGATATTAACAGCAAGGCTATCAATATTATAAGTTTGGATGCGCTAAATGGATGTATCAACTAATTCTTCCAATCTTTTCCTATCTAACCCACTAAATAAAATTTTCAATGCACTGGATGAAATTTGTATAAATTCCAAAAATGATCTCACTGTTTTATACTTAAATGCCAGAAGTGGAAAAAATAAAATTGATGACATGGAGGTTATGTTGAGAATATTGAATGATTCTATTGATGTTAAATGTGTGGCTGAGACATGGTTGAAAGACGAAGATTTAGCATTTTATAATATTTCTAATTTTTTATCTGTATGCGCTTGTCGACCAAGTAAAACTGGTGGAGGATGTGGTATCTTCATTAATAAAAAACACTCTTACACTATTGCGTACTCTTATAGCGATAATTATGATAGCATACTAAGCGTAAATGTAAAAATAAACAATATCTCGCAAAATATAATTAATGTACATAGATCACCAACCGAAGTTGTTAATAGATTTGAGAATTTTATTGATGAATTTGAAAAATGTATAGCTAAAACAAATTGCAATTTAAACACATATATATTTGGCAATTTTAATTTAAATTTATTGGACAATTCACAGAAAGTAACTAATTACAATAATATTCTTATAATTGTAATAAGCATTTAGCAACAAGAAATATTAATAATATGTACATTCATTGATCACTGCTTTACGGATAATTTAAATCAAAAACTAAAATTATCTCATGTAAATATTGATCTTTTTGACCATAATATCATAGTTTTTGAAGTTTTTAAAATAAAAGAAAGTACTACATGTAATCACAGTGAACCGCCTAAATATAAAACTACAAACTACGAAATTGCAAACTATACTAAAAAATGAGCCGATTATTCTAAATTCTGTTAAAAATTTTGAAGAAATTGTTGCAGATTTTATATAAAAAATGCAAATCAAAATCAATAAAGCGTTTAAATTTGTTGTGCCGTATAAAAATAAAAAAGCTGATAAAGTACGGGTAGATGAGGAATTTTTATCAGTAGTAAAAACAAAACATTATTGGTACGCAAAATGGAGAAGAGACTGTACTAATATAAATTTGGCACGTCAATATAAATTTTATAGTAATGAGGTGACCAGATTAAAGAAATTCAAAAAAAGGGCTTATTATACTAGAATATTTGGTGAGTGTGAAAATAATGCGTCTCAAACTTGGAGTTGCATAAATGAAATAATCTATAACAAAAGAAAAACAGATAAGGTTTTCGGCTTTCTACAAGGTGTATCAGACAACGACATTCAACCAAAATTATGTCTTCTAAACGAACATTTTGTAAAAACTTTGCATGTCAGCTCATATGTTTAAAATTTGTAAGGAGGAATTGTATGAGCCAATCTCAACTATAGTTAACAAGTCTATATGTGAAGGCATTGTCCCAGTCTCTCTTAAGGTTGAAAAAGTGATCCCAATTTACAAAAAATGGAGATAAAAGCAATTTCAATAATTACAGTATCTGGGCCTGTGGATTGATGACAATTTGAAATGGAATGTAGAAATAGATGAATTAAAAAAGAAATTATCATCGATTGCAGGAGTATTTTATAAAGTTTCAAATTACTTACCTGAAAATGTGAAGAGATTAGTATATTATGCTTTATTTCACAGCCATCTCAGTTACGGCATTAAATTATGGGGAACAAGCTCAAAACGGGTAAAAGAAGAATTAGAAATAATTCAAAATAGTGCAATCAAAAATTTATTTAATTATAATTGGAGGGAAAGAACTGAGTTCATACACTGACAAAACTGTTTCCTACTTATTAAGGATTTTATTGACTTAAAATTAATTCTCCATATACATGATATTGCTAATGATAACATCCATACAACATCTGAGGTAACATAGAGGAAAAATATTTACAATATTAACACGAGAAATAAAAATATACTGCATACCAATAAAATAAGAACTTCGCAATTTGGCTCTGAAACAACGTTATATTTAGGTACCAAATTGTACAGCAAACTGGATAGCGATTTGGAAATTTGACAGCACATCTAAATTGAAAAATAAATTAGTGAAATCATTCATTAGTAATTACAACGATCAACAATATAGATTATAGGGTTTTTGTATTATTAAAAAAAAAAACGAAAACAAAAAAAACAAAGCTTCTTATTTATCTAAATATTTTACAACTTTATTATACTTACATTCATGTGCACATGAATTCTTATATTTTAAATTTTGTATAGTCTGTAATGAGATTTGAAATTCTCCTTAGACATTATACCTTGAAATAAATAAAATAAAAAAAATAAAAATTAATTTATTTATTAAAAATCTGACCTATTTATATAAAAATTATACTACTTAAAATGTTTCCCACAGAAATAGACTAGTAGGCAATTTTCCCATGTTAACTTACGTATCATATAGGTTTCAAATTTACTTAAAGTAAAATTAACAAACAAAATATATGTAACTTGACTCCTACTATAATATTGTGAGAAACCTATGTATGGAAAAATATTTACATCAACTAACTAAAATGTTTGTAAATACATGTGCGTTAATATTAAGTTTTGCTAAATTATAATTTTAGCAATTTTGGTAATTTAAATAAATGGAAAAAAAAATAAAAGATTTAGAATTCAGAATAATTGTTGTTATACAACAGTATTTGCTAAAAAGAAGTTTTAAGAACCATTTCCTGCCATCGAACTCGGAATAATTTTCTCCGAATTCAGGTACCGTCCCTCTGCCCAATCAACGAATTTCGTGATGTTGCGCTAAGAATGTCTGTAAAACCTCTCTTTTATTACTAAAATTCAGTACGTGCTGCTTAATGTGTTCTAATTTTGCACCATTTGACATGTCACTTACGGCTTTATCTAGATCAATAATGTGGTCTAATGTTCGAACTTTCAAGCCTATTGTGCTAAAATCTATTAGACCACGAAGTTTATGAAAAAAATAGTAAATTGCACACTTTAAAAATATAATTTGCAGTACTATATTAATTTAAATATTTTTTAAGCAGTCAATAATGTCGGGCGCATGTACGATTATCCAGAAGAGTTAGAAAAAGTTTCTGAAAAGGTCCTTTGGGATATAATAAATATAAACATTGGTGCTACAACAATGATGACTAGAACTATAATCGGCACTCTAAAATCCAATAGAAAAGGAGCAATAGTTAATATTTCATCTGGAAGCGAAGTTACTCCACTACCATATATGAACGTTTATTCTGCTAGTAAGGTACGTAATTGGCCATATATAATATACATATACATACTTATACTAAAAATATAAAAAATATTCACAACTTTAAATTTTCCGAGAAGGGGACGGGGGTAACTCAGAGACTTAGTGGTTATTTCGGGAGATTATATCCATAATTATCAATAACAGTTTTTTTTTTCTCAGTAAATAGACCTATAAAACGGTAGTTTCATTAGTTGATGTCATAATTACTGATTTTGGTGATAGCTGCTTAAACTCGATATTTTGGGATAGAAAACCCAAACTATGTTAATTGTCTAAAAAAAAAAATTTTATCGCTATTTATTTGTTAGAACTTGGTCTCACATATTTTTCATGTAAATTGATAATTAATTCATGTAAGCAGTATTTTATATACCGGTAGATGTCCAAGTACCCCCTCCTCTACATACCAACAAGTTTTTACCAAAAGCCCAAAGGAAAGATCCCCCAAGTGCTTTTGCACTTGTTTCAAACCATTCCATATGTTTCAATTTTTTTATTTTGATATATTTAGATGTACATAAAAGGATTCACATTGGCATTGCAACAGGAGTTGTTGGATTACAATATTGTCGTACAACTAGTTACACCAATGTATATAGTAACAAAAATGAATGCATATTCCAGTTATGTTATGAAAGGAGGACTTCTATTTCCAGACGCCAGGACATATGTAAGATCCTTAATATTCACACTCGATAAGACTCCAGAAACAACCGGGTATTGGTCTCACGGTATACAATACGCTTTAATAAAGCTTGTTCCTTTATGGTTGCGGATTCGACTAGCAAAAGCGCTTACCAAAAAACTCAGAGAAATGTATTTCGCTGAGGCAAGAGAACAAAAGGAAGTTGATAATGATATATAAAAGAGACTAATATGAATGTAATAAAAAATATGAAAATAGATTTTTAAATATTAATGAAACATTACTATTTTCAAAAAAATTTACATGTATTTCTAAAAGTTAACATACGATTCAGGAGCGTCGAACAAAATTAATTTATTTTATATCAAATGAAATTTAACAAACGTTTTCTGTTGATCAATCAATATTTGGTAAAATGTAAATAACAATAAAGTACAATATTTTTTTTATAAAGGCAAAGTTTTTTTTCTTAAACCTTTTTATATGAGCGTTCAAAAACACAAGTGAAAAGAAAACAAAAATTTATTAATTTTGAATTATTTATTTCAGTTAAGTGGTTTATTGTCTGGACAACTGGCTAGAAAGTTTTGCTCCCAATAATTTGAGCAAGCACTTGAGATATTGAACGAATTGAAAAAATAACAACAAAAATTTTTAAATTCAAATAAATTATTTGCTAATTTGGTAATTAGTTTACCATTGGCAACTAATGGTAAACTAATTACCAAAAAGTACATAATTAAGCAAATAATTAGTTGCTTTGACATCTAATATCTTTTGAGTAATTTATTTCAGAACCTCGCTTTGAGTTATGTCGCATAAAACTGTAAAATACCTTTTATAATAAGCACTTTAAGCGATCAATTGCTGCTTACGCAAAAAATAATTCGCTACTAAAATCCACGCACATATATATTTGGATTTGCAGGCGAATAAAACGCGTAGGGTAATGCGTATGCCATACGATTTTTATGCAAAAAGTCTCAGGTTCGAACACTATTATAAAATGCGATTTGTTTAAAAAAATTACGCGAAAAGAGTACATAAGTAAATGCGTAGGTACATACTTATTTTTAAACAATGTAGATTTAATTAAATCTTTACAATTTTCTTAAGAAAGTGTTCACTTTTTGTTATAACTCACACTTCCAAATATGAATTTACATATAATATTTAAACCACCAAAATTAATAAAAATTTACCCCTACAGGATGTAACACCATTTTGTAAAAAGCGTGAACAAAGCATCTTGGGAGGTGGTGAAGGGAGAGAGCGGGTGGAATTCTTCCTTTTTCTGGGACGCTAGAGGCAAAAGCCTATGTAATGCTTTGTGTCCCATGTCTCTAGCCCTTCTATAAGTACCCTTACTTCTTGACACCTGAGAAGTAGCTATATATATATATAATAAGCATTGTGCGTATTACACTAATAATATAAATCAATGAAAATTTCTTCATACAACTGCAGAACATATGGATGACGTAATCAAAGGAACGAGTTAAAGGTAGAAAAATTAGATAATTTTTACTACTCAGTAGTAACGATGGCACTTGGTGCTAGGATAAAGCTCTTTTCTATTATAGATAAATAAGAAAATGAATGTTGTTTATAACGTGTTTATGTAAATGAATGTGAAGGCCAGCGTCATCATGAATAAGTTCCAAAGCTTTTACGTGAATTTGGTGTATTTTTAACGCATACGTTTGCTGTAGGTCGCATAAAACTGCCGCATTTTTCAGTATGACGCAGTTCTATGATTACCCACCTGAATTACTAGGTACATTATTTGTTTTTACTTTGCTTTCACCATGTAACAACCTATTATGATTTTTACTGCATTTCATGCAAGTGTTCTTTGAAATGCACTTGTTTCTCACATGATTGCTGCTAAGACAGTTTGAGCATAAGTTGTGCCGTCTAGCAGCTTCCTATTTTTGAGTAATACTCATGTCTTTGAATTTTTGACATGAGTACATTTTGTGTTACTCTTTACAAATTGGACATATTTTTACCTACACCGCGGTGTGATACATTTGGTTGCATCGCTTTTCATGTTTTTGTTTTGTTGCTGGGCCCCCCATAGTTTCTAACGCCTGAAACCTTGTTTCCAGGAACTGTAACATAGCTGTCAATTCTGGGATTTTCTTGGGATTTGCCTGTTGTTCGTAGACCCTTGAAGTTTCCTTATAAATTTTTTGTAAAATTAGAAAACTAATTATAGGGCCCCAGGAACCTTGTTCAATGCTTAGGTTTTTTATAGCCCAAAGGCATTATTGTGTCCAACATGTTTTTTAATTCAGCCCATATTTCTTTATTTAAATGACTTAGAGATAGCGACTTATTCATGCATGTTGAAAACAAAATTCTTGTGTTGTTGTACCTGGCTGTTAATAATTCCCAAGCGGGATTGTAATTTTCATTAGTTACTAGGAGTTACTAGTTTTATTAAGTTCATTGCTTCTGGTGACAGTAGACTTTTGAGGTAATGAAATTTTCCAGCATTATCTGATTGGTTATTTGAATGTATAAGCGAATTAAATAGGTTAGAAAAGCTGGTCCACGAGTCATTCTGGCCGTTGGTATGTTATTTTGCGGTAGTTTTACTTAGTTTTCTTGTGCTCTTATAGACTCATCAGATTGAATTTGCTTCTGCGTATCTTCCCTTATTCTTGTAACGATTTCCTGATGTTTCTTTTCAACTTTTTCGAAATGCTCATCTTTGAGGTATTCTGATTCTTGTGCATTTGCGGCAAGGGAAATTATGACAATATTTGGTCAATGTTTCAAGATACTGCACACATACTGTGACAGAGTCCTTCAGTTGCATGCATTCGTCTACCTTATTGACAACTCAATAAAACATTTTTATTTTATTTTGCTGCTTTTTGTAACGTTGCTGTTGGCTTATGTCCATTAAATCATTAGAGTTTAACTCAGCTTCGTCATGATTTTTCTCTTCTAAATCACCGTCCGTTTCATTTCAACTTTGGAGCTCTTGGGTTGGTTTGCGTTTTGAGCTAGTACCGTACTTGTGAATCGGTCTTGTAGGTTCTCCGCTAACTGCTTCACCTTATTGTAGTATTCAGTTTTAAAATATGCGTGGTCAGTGTTCGCACTCCAAAACTCTTTTATTATCAAGTCGTTGATATTAAACTGCTTCCAAAGCCTAGTGGCTAAATATTCTGCTGTCTTTGTTGAAGAAGCTTGATCTTCTTAAAATTAATCAGTAACTGCCTTTTATCCCACCCTAACTCCTTTTGTTTGGCAACAATTTTATCCAGATTTAGATTTTGTTTTCATTTCTTTTGTACTTTTTGGTTGAGCCCCCAAAATGTTGGATAGTTTAAGTGAAAAAAACATCTTGTTACTTGGTTTGAAGTTAATTATTATTCAAGATGGCGAATAATATAACATTTACGTGCGGAAAGTGTAATAAAAGTTGTAAATTATCGAGAAATAACTTTATTATTTGTGACGGAGATTGTGGTAAACCCTTTCATAAAAACTGTTCCGGATTAATAATTAAAGATTTCGAAAATATTAAACAGCAATAGCTAGTTTGGTTTTGTCTGAACTGTTTGTCTCGGCGCAATCGAAATCGTAATAGTTTACTAATTATACAGAACAGTGATCAAAACAACACACCAACTCCTAATAGTAGTTTAAATAGAGATGAACCAAAAAAAACAGATCCCAACTTATCTGATATGCAGGTGCTTCATAAAAAAATTGATTTTTTACTGGACCAAAATGAATCTTTGGCAAGCGATATAAAGTGTTTAAAGAAAACGCTTGCGGACTACAAGTTAATCGCTGATAATTTAACAGAAGAAAATATAATACTAAATAATAAAATTCATTCTTTGAGATCGCGGATAACCAATACGGAGAAAAAATCGCGTAAAGTTGATCAGTACAAGCTCAATAATTCTATATCAATAAGTGGAATTCCTAAAAAAGATAATGAAACTTTGGCAGTGATCAGTTTTGCTATTATTGCACATCTAAACTTAGATCCAGATAAACTAACCATAAAGGATATCTATAAGAAATCAAATGTAAATACAAATCGTCCCGGTCCGCCAGATATAGTAATTGGCTTCATGCAAAAAGAAAGTAAGTTAAGTATCATGACAAAATCTAAAGAATTTAAAAAAACAAAAATTATCTCAACTCTGGTATGATTTTACAAGATGGTACGAAACAGCCAATCTATATGAATGAAAGATTAACAAGTTTCTTTAGATTTTTATATCAAAAAGCTTGAGACTTGAAAAGAGAAGGAAAAGTTGCATTTACGTGTGTTAATGATGGAAAAATATTTATCCGAAAAGATATTAACAGCAAGGCTATCAATATTATAAGTTTGGATGCGCTAAATGGATGTATCAACTAATTCTTCCAATCTTTTCCTATCTAACCCACTAAATAAAATTTTCAATGCACTGGATGAAATTTGTATAAATTCCAAAAATGATCTCACTGTTTTATACTTAAATGCCAGAAGTGGAAAAAATAAAATTGATGACATGGAGGTTATGTTGAGAATATTGAATGATTCTATTGATGTTAAATGTGTGACTGAGACATGGTTGAAAGAAGAAGACCTAGCATTTTATAATATTTCCAATTCTTTATCTGTATGCGCTTGTCGACCAAGTAAAACTGGTGGAGGATGTGGTATCTTCATTAATAAAAAACACTCTTACACTATTGCGTACTCTTATAGCGATAATTATGATAGCATACTAAGCGTAAATGTAAAAATAAACAATATCTCGCAAAATATAATTAATGTATATAGATCACCAACCGAAGCTGTTAATAGACTTGAGAATTTTATTGATGAATTTGAAAAATGTATAGCTAAAACAAATTGCAATTTAAACACATATATATTTGGCGATTTTAATTTAAATTTATTGGACAATTCACAGAAAGTAACTAATTACAATAATATTCTTATAATTGTAATAAGCATTTAGCAACAAAATATATTTCTAATACATTGATTGATCACTGCTTTACGGATAATTTAAATCAAAAACTAAAATTATCTCATGTAAATATTGATCTTTTTGACCATAATGTCATAGTTTTCGAAGTTTTTAAAATAAAAGAAAGTGCTACATGTAATCACAGTGAACCGCCTAAATATAAAACTACAAACTACGAAATTGCATACTATACTAAAAAATGAGCCGATTATTCTAAATTCTGTTAAAAATTTTGAAGAAATTGTTGCAGATTTTATATAAAAAATGCAAATCAAAATCAATAAAGCGTTTAAATTTGTTGTGCCGTATAAAAATAAAAAAGCTGATAAAGTACGGGTAGATGTGGAATTTTTATCAGTAGTAAAAACAAAACATTATTGGTACGCAAAATGGAGAAGAGACTGTACTAATATAAATTTGACACGTCAACATAAATTTTATAGTAATGAGGTGACC